AGGAGGTGAAGAAGAAACGGGACTTCAACCCCCGGAAGGGAAGGCTGGTGCTGGATCCCAGGGAGGACAGTGTCAGGGAGGAAAATCTGATGGAGAGGTGGAAGCGACGTCTGTCCCTGCACAAGGAGGAGAGCAGGCTTAATAGGGAGAACCTGAACAACAACAACAGCAAAAGGAGCTGCCCGGAAGATTTTGAGGTGCGTAGGGGGTTGAAATGTGGGTGGTTGGCGTGGCTGGCTCTGCTGCAAGTGAAACTGCTCTTCTCATCTTCATAGCACAGTTTCATTTGACTTGGATAAAGCCCTTCATTCCATGAGGAGCTTCTTCCTTTTCGAAGTGCTTCTGAACATGGCTTTGCTTGCCCAAGCTATGGATTTAGATGCCAGAGGGGGAGAGCGTGCCCAGGTGAGCACCCTGTAAAGTGGGCAGCTCGCTTGCACAGCCGTCGCTTGACACGGTAGGTACTCTTCCCTGAAGATACTGTCAGGGCCCTGAGAGAAGTGGAAAAGGGCATTGTTTCAAATCTCCTTGTCTGTAAATGTGTCTCCTGCTCTGTGCCTTTTGCTCGCTGCACCAAGGTTGGACTGGATGACTTCAAAGGTCCCTTCCAACCCAAACCAGGCAGCGATTCTCTGCTGACTGCCGCTCTCCCCTTTCCGTGCACGTTTATCTGTAGCTCTTTTCTCTCCTGCAGCACGACGCCGTGTTTGGGATCCTCAGTAAGGTCAAGCCTTCCTACCAGTCCTGTGCTGACTGCATGTACTCCTCAGCCCGACTGTCCCCCGACTCCTTCGGGGAGCAGTGTGAGAAGCTGAACCCCGGCGCCGCCCGCCGCACCGCCGCCATCTGCACGCAGCCAGCCCTCCTCTCCCACCTCAGCTCCAGCCTGGCAGATCCCCTGCCCAGCAAGGCACGCCCCGAGGAAGCCAGCAGGACTAAACCCAGCGGGGCTCCTCTTCCTCTGCCAGCAGGGACTGGAGCTTTGGAGACGGGCGCTTGCGAGTCGCTCGACCGACGCTGCGGCGGTTTGGAGGAGGGAAAAGATGCGCCAGAAAGCCCCATCAAAACTCTGCTGCCCAGGAGATACTTGCACTGTGACAAGAGCCTCCTTGGTGCAGAGGTGGTGACAGAAGAATCTCTAGCCAGAAGAGGCAGCAAACCTGCCAAGGGCCTGAAGTACTTGTTCAGCAAAGACCTGGAGAAGCCAAGCGCCAGCAGCTACTTGATGCAGCGCCAGGAGTCTCTCATGCAGCTGCAGAAGGCCGGCTTGGTTCGGAAGCACACCAAAGAGCTGGAGAGGCTGAAGAGCCTGCCCTCGGGCACCTCCTCGCTGCTCAGGGTGAACCCCCTCAGCAGCGTCGACTCCAGCATCGTGGAGGAGAGCGAGGATTTGATTTCACCCCACGACCTCGTCCCTCTCCTGGGCCCCGCGCCTTTGCTCCCCGAAGGCGCCGAGAAGCTGGAGGTGAAACGCTTTTTGGAGGAGATCTCTCAAAAAAC